TTGGGCAGATGTCAGCGAACCGTGGAGTGTAGTAGTACTCCATAGTAGGGCCATGCGGGGGTGGTTGATGGTGAGCACCATCTTCTTGTGGGACTGGATTATTGGCCTGGACCTGATTAACTGGGGGAACCTGGACAGGCATCCCCAGGGGTTGATTTTGCCCCAGGTTCAGGTTCATCCTATTGTGCTCGTCGCCCATATCGTACTCCTGCTCGTAGTCGCTACTCAGATAGCCATCGACTTGCACATCCTTTGTAGCCAGTCTTGCCCGCTGCTCCTTCCTAAGATGGCGACAAGTACGTTCTAGCTCCGGATCCAAAGGTAGTAATGCTCCCGACTGGCTACGGGTCATGCACTACCTGCACACAGCCAAGCAAGCAAACCCGTGGAGGCAAAAGTGGGACAAAGCAAAACAATCAATATGGAAAAGAAATGCTAAAGTAACATAAATCACGTTTCTTCAACAACCTAGCCGTCCCCGGCAATGGCCCCAAAAACTTTACTCGTCTGTACTGTCACACTAGAAAGTGGCCAAGTCTAACCACCTACTAATGCGTAGTATAGCGGGTTTAGATTTAATTGTCAACCCGGGTTCTAGGTGTGATGACTACTCCATGAAGTTCTTATTATTTAGCAGTTCAACTATAGTGAATTTTCAACTAAACTAACAAACACAAGCAGTAAAAGTTGTGATTCAAGTTTGAGAGAGGTCACCCAGATATGATTCCCTCTAGATTGCAGTTAAGCCAAATTGTACATCACCAAGTCCAGATTCAATGATAATTATACTTCGGAATGTTCTTATTTAGTCTCAAGTCTAGACTAAAGGTCCCCAGACCCTCTCAATCTGAATACCCGGCGACTAACCTTCACCGGAGTAAACAAACTGCGGCCCTAACATGCAAAACCTCCTCTACTGGAGTAAATCCAGTACAAAATAGTGAATTGACTTCTCGACTAAAGTCGCCAATTCACCACCTTCAATTAAGAGTGCTCTATCAACCTAGGCATATATTCTCTTTCTAGGTCAAAGCAGGAACTATAGGAATTTGATCAGGATTCATGCAATTCAGAAAATCATGCCTCAATTGAATATAATTGATATCAAAGAACATGTACTTGGGTTCATACAACCAAACCTAACATACAAATCCAGAGTTCTTCATACCCAAGTGAGTGAGAGAGTTTACTCCATAGAGAAAGAAGAGAAATCAGCTTCAGTTGCGGAAATCATTCTATGAAGGATGGTACTCGACTTCTGGTTGTCAATAAACACTTCTCCAAGCTTCAATCGAGCTCTAATGGTGTTGAATCTTGATCTAGGGCACTTGGAGGTTCAGTTCGTCGCTTTCTCTCGCTAGGTTTTCTACTTTCTCTTACTAAAACTCAGATCCCTCTCAAAAGAGGCCAACTTTGCATGAAAAGGAGTAGATCGCGATACCCGGCCCAAATACCCGGTCGGGTATTCCTGGGGATCGGCCGGGTATTATCAAAACGCAGCGCTTCTGGCAGGGGGAAATACCCGATCGAAGGTCAGAATACCGGATTGGGTATTTAAGCTTCTCGGCCGGGACCCCTTCTGCTTCATTGGCCTCCAAAACGGTTTTACCCGGTCCTTCCTTCTCGTTTATCCGGTCGGATATTTCAGTTCTTGACCGGGTATTTTTACCTTCCAGCTCCTCTAGCTCCAACTCTCCACTTTTCGACCCGAAATTCGCTTCCACGCCTCCATGTCCACGCCAAGTCCTGAAATATGACATAAACGAACAACCTAGCATGAAATCGACTTAAACCACGAGAATCGACTCTCAAACGGTTCAAGAATGGTGGTCAAAACATGTGCAAATAATGGTCTATCATTAGACTTCTCTTCATCTTCAATCTTGATTTTGACAGGAGGTTGCACTTCTTCCCGAACTATCTCTTCTTCTTCCACAACTTCTCTTTGAGCCTCTCTTACCGGTATCCTCGGTTGGAATATGAACTTCCTTTAGAGGCTGACCAGTCCTTAGAGTTACCGCGTTACACCCCTCTTTAGGATTAAGTTCGGTATTTCCTTGTAAGGTTTCTTGTTGTCTTGACGATATAGTTTGTGCCAATAAGTTTAGTTGGGTTTAAAGATTTTGATACATCATCTATTTACAATTGATTGAATTTTAAATAACATGTAATCAATATGGTTTATTTAAACATAAGAATTAAGATAAAACTAACAAAATGGGTAAGACTGCTAGACTCATGGAATATATCATACTTCATATACTTTTAGTGAGATATCTCTAATTTGATCATGAATTAAATCGAGTTTGGGGTTGATATTATATCCTAATCTCTAATGGATAAGCCATATGCCCTAATTTTGTAAATCAAAACCTTAAGACTAATTTAATAATACTAATAATAAACAATCGACGATCAGTATTTGGCGAAGTACATCTAACGAGCAGGTCACTTTGAGTATGATATACTCAAGGAGTACACTAGTCCTAATCATTGTTATAAGAATCAAACCGGATCAGCGACTCGACCAGTATAACCGTCAAACTAGTTTCAATAATGGTTCAGTCCATTTGTTTGGACGACTATGGATGGAGCTCACGTTTTTCCACGGTTGAAAATGAAAGCAGATGAACCACCCCAAATTGACGACTGAACTTGTTCACTATGTTAACCATAGGAAAAATAAAGAAGAAAAATAATTTAGCATAAAATAAGATAGTCCATCTTGAATTACTATTTTTATATATACTTTCTCTTCTTTGTTTCTCAGCCTTCTAATCGGTATTACTGGTCCACTACAGACAGCAATCCTAATTACTAACTTGAATTTAGTACAAATTTTATGATTTATTTTGTTAGACTATTTGAATGGTTTGTTAGAACTTTTGGTGATTGATGATATGGAGTTGATATTGTTTATGGTTAGTGATAAATTTTGTCATATATTAGTTTATTATATATGTCTTTTATGTTATAACACATGAGTCATTCTATCAACTTAAGGGGCCGGTTAAATTAAATAAGTTCTTCAACTTACAAAACATTTAGCATATTTTTGGACAAGTAATGAATAAATTATTATTTTATACATATATAAACATTCATTTTTTAATTTTAGAAATAGGATGTGTTACACTACATTTATTTTTAATTTTGAAAATAGGATATGTTAACATTGATATGCTTTATTAATTTGTTCATATCTTTGGTAATTTATATTGAATCTATCATTCTATAAAAGCTTACTTTAGAGTATATTTTGTGCGACTTTAATCATTTAAAAAATATAGTTTTCATAATATTAAAAATAGTTTTATTTATTATTTTGATGATTTTAATACTTTTAACGATAACATAATAAGAAACTCCGCCCCCAACCCAGAATGCCAAATCCTGGCTCCGTCCTTGCTACCAACTATTAACCAACAATATAACCACAAACCAATAACTTTTTCGGTTCAATGTTCGTTTCAGTTATGAAAATCGAGCTCTTTACCCTAGCAATATAGTGAAACAAACCAAAGATTATGCCCTACAAAGTGTGATGTGTTTTATATTTAGGTAAATTTCTTGTATCTAGTTGACCTCGAAAGTTTCTAGTTTACCCGCTGTTGGCGATCTAGATTGCATACCATAGTGAGGGTCCATCAATTAGCACCGGTTGAGCTAGGTTTGCTTGGACACAAGCAAATAGTAAGTGTTTGAGAGTTTAGTTCGAGCTTAATTATACACATTTGCACCACATTTTAATTGATCATTTGACTTGAGATTCATCGTCCTTGAGGCAGTTTTATGCTAGGTTGTGCATGGTTGAGTGTATTCCCTGTCCTATCAAGTGAAATTGGCAAAAGGAACAAGAGTCGGATCAACGGGAGCCAAAATGAGACAAAGTGAAAGAAAAGTGCAAACCTAACGGTTCAGAGTAAATCCTCATGGCCAGGACGTGAGTTTCACAAGGAAACCGTGCAAATCACACAAGTTCCAGAAGGCCAAGTGATTCTCACAGGCGCTTGAAAATCTCACAGTTCACCAACTGTGACAACTCCTCAGAAGCCGTTAAAATTAGGCACTTCCAGAGGGCCATATGAATCTCATAGGAGTCTGTAAACCTCAAGGTGGAAAATCGTGAGAATTGCATATAAACCATGAAGTGGTCAGTGAAACGCCACGAATTGGATCGACCTCATGGTTTGGCTGTAAATCTCACAGTTGTGATGTGAAACCGTGAATTTTGCACTTCTGGGCTTTATGAAGGAGCTGAAATCGGATTTACACAGTTGCATACTTTTTCCTTACCCCATGCACCACCATTATAAGTCCATGCTCTTCCACCACCGCATGTTTTCACAGTTGTACTTCAGGAGGCAGTTAGCGTGGACTGGGAATCCATGCTGCTCATAAGATCTTTCTTCACACCCAAAGCCTGGTCAATAATGGATAGTTCATCTTCGGATTCCTTTTTACAGATGCATGCGTGATCATCGATATAGAAGTTCTCAATCACGTACAAAGAAAGCTCTCCTATAAGAAATATACAATCATTTTTGTCCAGACCCACAACTCGTTCACATTTATACAAGAACCGAATCTTTTCCAGGTGCTCTAGATATGGTCTAATAAGATATTCACCATTATCAGTCAGTTCCTTATCTGACTTGTCCTCGGTGACTTTGTTGTCATCAGTTCTATTGGATGATGATTGCCTCGGAGAGTCGGAGACCCTAGTTCAGACTTGTTTAGCATGGTTTCTGGCATAGGAACAGAAACTGCACTGGACTTAACACCTAAGTCTTGTAACAAGTGAAGGCTCGGTTCATTCACAATACTGGCTTTGTCATACACTTCTAACAGAAGCAACAACTTTAGGTCCAACTGCATCCTTAAAAGATTCCCCATACATCTCACCATCATTACCAATCTGTCGGGTTTGGACTCAAGAACCGCTGTCCGGTAGAAAAGGCCGGTCGGTCCATTATCTACAGATGCAACAATAGGCGATTTTACCAGAGATCGGCACAAGAGCAGAACCCATCCTGAAAACAATGAAATCTACTCGCATCCCTGACTACTAGTTCTCGTTGATATAATCTTGACACTAATTTACAGAAAGCATGACAATCTTCACAAATTCTAAGATTCTTTGTAATCCTAATTGGGGTATCGTCAGAAGTGCTCAACAAACCATAGGCAATAGCCAGTCGTTCACTATGGCCATGGAGCATCTCAACTTTCTCTTCCTCCCTTACATTATGCAAGACTAACTTTGTCTGGGCAACATATCCCCCTTCATTCTCCAACTTCTCAATAATCTGAGCTAATTTCTGATAGATCTTATGTGACTCTGGATGAGCCTTGTCTCTAGCAATAAATGTATGAATCTTATTTCCTACCTCCATCCAACTACATCCAGGGGTTTTCTTCAACCCATCTGCTTTCATTCTCATTCTCACTACTCGAACATCATTCCATCGGCTCTCTGCGGCAAACAAATTGGACACTAGCACATGATTCCCTGGATTTTTTGGGTTCAACTCCAACAGCTTCTTGGCCACTTTTTCTCCAAGTTCTTCATTGGAGTGAACTCGGCAAGCACCTAGGAGGGCACACCAAACTTCAGCAGCAGGTTCAACGGCCATGTTCTTCACAAATTGGTATGCCTCTTCCAAGCGGTTCACACGACCCAGAAGATCCACTAAACAGACATAATGCTCTTGCCAGGGCTCTAGCTGATACTTGCATTTCATAATTTCAAGAAAGATTTTGCCTTCCTCAACCAGTCCTGAATGACTACATGCATAAAGAAGCGCTAAGAAGGTTATATGATCTGGAATCAGGTTTCTATCCTCAATTCTGCCGAATAGTTCAACTGCCTTTTTGCCATGCCCATGTATTCCATATGCAGTAATCATAGTTGTCCATGTAACCAGATTTTTATTTCTGATACAGCTAAATGTCTTGTAAGCACTCTCCAGACTCCCACACCGAGCATACATATCCACAAGAGAGTTTCCCAATGATCCTTCTAACAGAAAGCCTTTCCTTGTTATGAAACCATGAACTTCTTTCCCTTTATGCAAAGATGATAAGCTAGTAATTGCAGAGAGTATGCTGACGAGAGTAATATAATCTGGTTGAACTGCAGTATCTTTCATTGACTGAAAAACTTCAAGAGCTTCAACTGCATATCCGTTATTGATGCATGATGATATCATGCTTGTCCAAGATATAGCATCCTTATCTTCAATCAACTCAAACATTCGAGCAGCATGATCAACTTGCCCACATTCTCCATACACATCAACCAAAGTGTTTTGCAGCATACGGTCAGTTAGAATGTGCCTTATCATGTAACCATGAACTTCTTTTACTTTGAAAAAGTGTTTCAATCCTCTGCAAGCCAGCAAAATGCTGCCAATCATCATTGAATCTGCACGCATTCCTTCCATCTGTGATTGCCTGGACAATTCTAAGGCCTCTAGATAACAATTGTTCTGAGCATAGCCTGCCACAACTGTCGTCCATGAAATGGAATCCTTTTCAGGCGTCATCTTAAAAGCATGGTCCATGTAACTTACACGAGAACACTTGCTATACATATCAATAATTGTGTTTGCAACATGCAGATTAGAAGCAAACCCCTTCTTTACTGCATAAGCATGACTTTCCTTGCCATTTAACACACAACCTAATCTCCCACAAGCTGTGATGATGCTTGTTAGTGAAACCACATCAGGTGTTAGACCAGAATCCTGAAAATCGTGGAAGCATTGTAAAGCTTCAGCGAAAAGACCATTCTGAATAAAACCAGCCAGCATGGAATTCCAGGTGATATTGTCCTTAGCTTCCAATAAATTGAAAATCCTGGCAGCCTCAACCATTAGCCCATGTCTCACATACATAGCTATCAGTGCATTTGCAACATACACATCAAGAAATTGATGTGATCTCAGAGTAGCAGCATGGATTTCCCTACCCAGTATGCTAGAAGAAGAACCTTGACAAGCTTGAAGGGCAGCAACAAATGTGTAAGTGCTAGGAGAAACACCAACCATCCTCATTTTTTTGAAAATCACTAATGCCTCCCAGTACTGAAGCGTTTCAGAATATGCAGATATCATAGAGTTCCACAAGACATCATCGTCTCCGCCATTCATCCTCTCAAACAATTTCCGTGCGCTATCCAAATCCTTGCACTTGGCATACATAGCAACCATAGCATTAGCAACAAAGGCCACCGAAGCACACCCACATTTAATCGCGAGTCCGTGCATTTCAAACCCAGAGTGACGATCACCAAGTGCTCCACAAGCTTTCAGAGCGCACGGAAAAGTACGAGAATCAAGAGGGGAACCCGACACCCTGATTTGTCTGTACAACTCGAGGGCTTCTAAATTTTTCCCATTTGAAACGTAAGCCCCCATCATAGCATTCCACGTGAAGATAGTTCTGTCGGACATTTTGTCGAACACCTTCTGTGAATCGCAGACATACCCACACTTCCCGTACATAAACACAAGCTTGGTGCTCAAGAAAACAGATTCCGGGGTTGCCACACCAAATTTCAGGACATGAGCATGCACCTGTCGACCAAGTGATGAAGCCCTACTTTTCGCACAGAGCTCAAGTAATGGGGCGTAGGCCTCATCTGGGTTATCTAGAAGCGAGGTACGATCCTCAGTCAACGATGCAGTAAAGGTAGATACAGCTTCTCTGAGGTTACCTTGCTTGCATGCCTCCCGAAGAGAAAAGACAGTTTCCCCATGGAACGGGGGAACCTTTGGGAATGTTGAAGGGGTTCTCAGCATGGCGTTTTGCGGTGCTATGAGCGGAGAGGCCTGGAGGCTACACCAAGTGAATATTGTAGCCATTGCAGAAGACTCATACAATCCAAGAACACCAAAATTCCCAACCTCAAGGAACCAAAATGGGGATACAGGGATAGAATGAAATGGAGACAAAAGTAAAGCAGATAAGTCTCAGCCTTGGGAGGTTTACCGCTGCAAGTATCCGTAGTATTTTCATGGAAGGTTCATCAAACAGCGAAATTATTTTGTTTTCCAGAGGAGGGAGGAAGACGGTAGAGGAAAGGAAATACCTCAAACCCTCTATGCAACTTCAATCAACTAACTTCGTCGGGGTTTGGAACTCTCTAACAGTGAAGGGACAGAGCGTGGGCGACGACGCAGAGAGAGGACAATCTCTTTCTCTTTGGATTGGAATTGTGTGCATTCGGTGGCGGCAGAGCAGTTCCACGGACATGGACGGCCAGCCGCAACAAGGCGAACCGAAGAGTTGTAAGGAGATTCAATTTGTGACGGAGAAGTTCGCCGGCATTGCTTTTGACAGTAAGGAGGGCGAGGAAGAGCGACGAGATTGGTTCTCGATTTTTTTTTCTCGTTCCTGAACAAGAAAACAAATTAAGTAAAATGTTAAACGAATGGATGGGAAATGCCACATTTGGTCACTGAGATTACTAAATCATGTCATGTTTAGTTACTAGAAAAAATTAATATTAATTTTGGTCACTCGAATTACTGAAACATGTTACATTTAGTCACTCTCCTTTTGAGCTCGTGTATGGATTCAATCCTCTTACTCCATTGGATTTGATACATTTACCTTTGAAGAAGCAAGTAAGCACATATGGAGCTAAGAAAGCGGAGTATGTGAAGAATCTCCATGAGAATGCTCGATTGAATATTGAAAGGAAAATTGAGAAAAGTGTCTGTCAACAAGCATAGAAAGGCTCGAAATTTCGAATCAGGAGACTGGGTGTGGATGAACATAAGAAAAGAGAGGTTTCCTCATCGAAGGAGATCCAAGTTGTTACCACGAAATGCAGGTCTCTTTCAAGTGATTTCGAAGGTTGGGCCTAATGCCTACAAGCTATACCTACCAGAGGAGTATGGAATAAATGCAACCTTCAACATTTTTTTATCTTACACCATTTCTGGAGGATGGCCTAGATTTGAGGGCAAATCCTTTTCAAAAGAGAGGGAATGACCGACTCATACTAAGGCTAAGGCTCTAAGGGATCAAGTTGCAAGCTTTTTGGGTTCTCAATTAAAAGTCATGGCCGAGGGAATGCTAGAGGAGAAGAAGCTCATCACATTGCTACGATTTATGGACTAGAATTAAGAGGGGATGAGCTTGGAAGAGGGAGGAGTGGATTCGGCCTAGAAGGAATGAAGATCTCCTATGGTGTGAAAGGAATACAAGTGTGAAATGAACCATGATGTGAACACATGGGAGGGGGCGGATTTGAATTAGAGATTATAAGGTGGTTGTTGACTTAGTCTTTACTTGTTTGTTAAGGATTTGTTTTTCCTTTTAAGTGTAGGATTTGGTCATTTGTTTGCTTTCCTTTTATGTTGTGAATCAGTATTAGAGAGTCTATAAATAAGGGGCCGAGTTCCTCATTGTAATCATCAAGTTTTATTCAATCAAATACAAGTGAGTGTTTCGTGTTCTTTAAGAACGTTTTGCTTCAAAATCGTTTGAGGATTCGGGAGGTTTGAGTGTCTCTTATCAACGAAAAGATCACATCTAAATGTGGCGAGTTCGACGATATCGATTGGCTCTTCCCACTTGTTCGGAGTTGCTTGATTGATTTCCGCAACTATTTTTTATTTTCATGTTGTTGAAGAAAGAAGAAAAGCCCTACAAAAAGTTCGACGTGTGCAAATATGATTTTTTGTCTAGATTCTCAAATTAGGATCATATCAGCGACTTAATAATTGAAACTGTTTACTTATTCTCAATCTTTGCACCCAACAATACCAGTTAAGAAAACAATTAAATGAGGGAATGACATTATATGGAAAAACAAATATACAGGTTACATAAGATAAGATGTCACTGGGAGGGTTAAAAATTGCCTCCTGACTAAATTAGTCCGAGTTTTTGCTTACTTTATGCCAATTCTTACCAAGAATGACAAACCAAGGCTTACAGGTTCAAATGAACTTTGGGTATATGTGGTGGATCGAGTAGTTAACTATTAATTATACAGCGGATTCGTCTTTGTGAGGATCGTCGTTGACGGCGGGTTTGTAAGAATGAAGCATGTAGTTGCAAGCTCCCACAGCTTCTCCTACCGTTAAAAAGATCCATTCTGGACCAAGGTTGTCGATGAACTTGGCTTTGTTAAGCTTCTTTGTCACCTCTGCTCCAGGGTTTGCTAGCGCCAGCTACAAATAAAATCGACCAAGTTCATTCATCTGGTGATTACAAAACATTCTCGATCTGGTTATGTTTCAATAAATCAGATTTGATCACTAGTGAATTTGGGTTACCTTCAACCCTCTTCTGTCAGTCACCTTCTTCACTTCCTCCAGCATACTAATCCCACTTGTGTCGATGTTCCCAACAGCTGGCCATCCACACATACATTAAAAGGAGTTTACTTACATAAAAAATGGTCCATTAATTCTAAATCATGTTGGTTCAAATTTGAGTCACAATACCTCCCATGTCTAGAATAACATATTGGAGGCTGGCTTCCCCTGAAATCTTCAACCTTTCTTCTTCATCATCAATCCACCTCCCTATCCTACATTATTTGACAATATTCAATCTCGTAATTGATACGCGATTTAACTGGTACGACGAACGAACGACGATTAGGATATTAATGTTGAATTGCATATACATACCTTTCCCTCAAATAGGAAGAGTTTGCAAAGTAAATCGGAGCATCAATCTCAAGCACCAGGACACCGGGCACCGTCGCAGCATTCGGATATTGTTCAACATTTCTATAGATGCCCGAATTGGAAACGTTCCCAAGGATGAATGTTTTTGGTCTCGCCACAAACAAAAGCACTCGTAGGACAGAGATCCCCACCTGAACCAAAACAGAGCATCCACAACTACAATTACCACATAGAATTGAATCCTTGTGCAATGTAATGTGTGTGGTGTGTGGAAAACACATACGGCGAGGACCAATCCGATCTCGACACTGGCGAAAACGACGCCGGCGTAGGCGCTGATGCAGACGAGGAAGTCGAACTTATCGATGCTCCAGAGGTGGAGGGCGGCCTCGACGTCGATGAGGCCGAGCATCGCGGAGATGATGATGGAGGACAGCACCACGAGGGGAGTGTAGTGGAACAGGGGCGTAAGGAAGAGCAACGTGAGCATCACGGCTAACGCCATCACTATGTTCGACACCGCGGTCTTGCATCCAGCATTGAAGTTCACCGCCGACCTCGAGAACGGCCCTGTGGTGAGGTAGCATGAGGTGAGGGAGCCGACGACGTTCATGGTTCCAATGGCGATCATCTCCTTGTTGCCATCAATGTGGTAATTCTTGAACATGGCGAAACTCCTCCCAACGGCGATTCCTTCCTGCAACCAGAGAAAATTATTGACATTATGCAAAATACAACATCAAGTGAATTGGGGGAGAGGCTGAATGGTAAAAGAGAATTACAGCGAGGGCAATGACACCGGTGACGATGCCGGTCTTGATGGCGGTGGACAGATAAGGTGACACGAAGACCAGATCACCAAACGACAGCGGATTGAGTCCTTTCTTCAGTTGCCCTATCTGCCACAATAAAAGCAAGAAGAAGACAAACTCAGACAAACAAGATGCATTGGTCAGAAAAGGTCGGGCCCACTAGGAATATGTCGTCAGAATCCAATAGAGAAATAAGTTTGTAGGGGCCTAGTAAATAAAAGCCCCAACATATTATTGGCGAGGCCCACCAAAGATGCAACCATAACCTTTTCTTTTTATGTTATGTGCTTTGAGAAAGGGACTAGGCCAATTAGAGACATAAAGAAGCAAAGGGGGCTGAACCACATGTGTTGGGAGCTCTTTTAGGCCTTGGCTGCTATTTGCTTTCTTTTAGTGGTGGTCCAAATTTCAATAAACCATGATTATTACTATTAATAGTAGTTGTTGTTAATTTTTCAAACAAATTAAAGAAAAAGAATTGAGTAAGATGAAAAGGAAGGCTCTTTCATTTCAAATGCTATAAGAACCCTAATTATATATTAACAAAGAAGGACATTTATGGTATGGTGTGAAAAAGTGATTGGTAAATCATAAATAATAATTTGTAAACTTTTCGAATTTGTAAACTTTTTGAATTGATACTTATGAATGTTGAATAATGTATTAGTTACAAGCCATTTGTTTAAATTTATTTTCACTAAACAAAATTTTAGAACTCCAGGAGCAAGGTAAAATAAGGAATTATAAGTGAAAGGGGGAAAAAGCGTATTAGAAAATAACGGAAGTAGAGGTGAAGAGAATAGTTTATTAGTTGTTACATTCACCCCAACCCTATTCATTATCGGTCTTTCATGTTTCTCGATTATTTTGGGATTCGACTATTATACTCTAAATAGTTCGAGATACAAATTAAATTTGTATTATAACCTTAAAAGTATAAATTTTGTTTGTACCAAAAATAAATTTGTATCGATTATATCATAATATGAGGGTATGAATTCAGTTTGTAACATAAAAAAAATACTTTCAAAACTATATATGCATAATCTGAATTTGTACAATAACATTAAAGATATAAGTTCGGGTTATACTAAAAAAAACTTTTGATTAAACCAAAACACAAATATGTGAAGTAGTGTAAAATTCCTAATACTTGTTTTGATCAAGTCAAAAAAGTAATAGAAGTCTTAGGTTTCATGTCCAAAAGAAAGTTTTGGAAACAAAGGAAGAAAAGGTGACGAGCTGTGCGGCCGATTATATAGCAGTTTTGACTTGAGATGTAGAGACGTCATATAGGCGAAGAATTTAGAGTAATTATTGGCAAAGCTGGTAAAAATGATGACACGTTGACAATAATAATAATAATAATAATAATTACCACTTGGACGCCATGTTTTTCCGCGTGGGTGAAATAAACGAGAAGACTTCCCAGGATGACTGATGTGAGCGGGGCCAGCGCCGAGACCCAGAAGAACTTTGGTCGTTTCTTGCTCTGCGCCAAGTTTCAACACCCCCACTAATTAATTCATTAATTGGTATTATCATCTAAATGGAAGGAATCACTCTAGTCTTTATATACATCCAAAAAATGAAAATGTTGAAAGAATGGACGAGTCTGAACCTTCCAGTATTCATAGATTTGGAGAATTCAGAACAAAATTATAATAATAATAATGGTATAGCAAAGCGAGCAGAGATTAGGAAGAGGGTCACGGGAGCAGGTTTATTCTTTCTTTTTTATGAACACATTATTAGTGCCAGTGCCACTATACCAATAATGCACATCTGCTTTCTTTGTCAATAACTAATTATATGCATAGCTCATTTCATTAAGTTATGAAATTAGTTAACAAGTTGATGTGTACATTGTCTAGATCGTAGAAGCAATGACGTAAATGGTTGAGTAGAGAACAATACAGCAACCCCCATCCTCTATTATTGCCTAATACACAGTAATACTAAATATACGTACAGTGACGCATATCTGATTCTTCAGTCTCCAAGTGATTAATCAATAATTAATTATCAACTGATGAGTAATCAGTGAAGCATATATATGCCTGGTTCAAACATGAGTACTTACGTACTAATAAAGCTACCACTATAATATATAAGAAAATCTAACTACGTAATTAGCATAGTCTTAGTTAACATGGACACTTCCTAATCGATCTGCAATAATTGAATGCGTACGTACGTAGAAGGGTGCAAAAGATAGAATGTGTAACTAAATTAACTACTTACGAATTGTCTGGTGACGAGGAGGAAGAAGAGGAAGCAGAAGCCCAACAGAGCACTTTCCCACCTCCACTGCACAGTGCACACCCACCCAAAAGCAAATTAAGCAAAGGAAAGTTCCTTGTCAGAAACGGGGCAAAATGGCAAATCATGCATCTTTATGGTTATGAATGAATCTTAATTGACGGAAAGTAGCACTAACTTTTCTTAGCTAATTGTCATGTGTGAACACTAATCGGTCGCAATAATAATGGTTAATAATAATTGTAGATAAGTGGGACAGCAAGAGTCAAAAAGCAGTCAATTATATATATGACGCAAAGTGATCGAGTATACCGGTAGAGTATATATGTACTTTCGACAGTCCAGGACGGGGGGCGGGAGACATTAATTAATTAAAGCATTGAATCGTCTAATCAGAAAGGCAATTAGTGGTGGTAGATGAAGTAATTAATTAATTTAACCTGATGGGTTTGTGAGAAAACGGAGCGCATAACGGAGACGAGGTCGGTAGCGTGGGTGAAATGGTCCAGCCCTAGTATCCCTTTAAGCTGCTGTAGGATCACCACCGTCGCTGCCCCGGCCATGAATCCTACTATCGTCGCATGTGACAGAAAGTCCACGATGAACCCTAACCTGCAACCAAATTTCCCACTGCTAATTAACCCAAAACATAATAATCACCTTTTTCACATATACCGCACAAAATTTCAAATACTCGTAGTAACTTTGCACTCGATTATTAGCGAAATTATACTATACTCGGAGAGTAAGCTAAGCTTTACCACCTGGCAAAGGGAATATTCGCTTTTTAATTTAAGTTATCTGTTTTTGGGGAAACAATTTTCTATTTTTTGCTATTTTGAGTCGTGTGTATTTATCCTGTTCCATCTCGAAGTTGGGGAACGTGTTGATCATCCCGTGATATGTCCATCTTTCTGTCTTTATTCTCCTCCTAACAACAATCTGCCAATCTCATCAAAACAGCAGATCGCTACCTCGAATCTTGTCTGGTTCTCTCATCAATACAATATCCTACGTATTAATAAATTCTTTTCACTCAATCATGAAGCAAAGATAAAGGCGGTGTCGCCAACAGTACTCCTACTAGCAGACGTATACATGGTGACTGTGTTACGACAGTTGACAGAGAAAAAAACGACAAGCTAGCAAATGCAGATTGGACATCACTCACGGCCGGACAGAAAGAGCACAAGAACCAGCTGGTTGGTGGTGGCATGGCCATGGCAGATGTTTCATAGCTTTATATTTCTAATAATTACAACGTGGAAAAGTGCTAATTGATCTACTCCATCTCTCGATCGCCTTTTTTGTGTCACTCTAGCTAGTTATAGATAATGCTTACTCAAAGTCGGTCACCTTTAAACTCTACACCAACCGTTGATTTTTTTTATTTTTTATTTTACTCCTTTTTGGTTATGTGTATAGTACGTATTAGTTTCAATTTGTTGACTAAAATAATGCAACACGTACGTGTGTTAATTGGGTTAAAAAGAAATAGATTTACCTGAAGAGGCCAAGAGCAGCTTGGAAAAGTCCGGCGAAGAAGGTGGCCGTGAAAGCCAGGTGCAGATACAGCTGGGGGTTCTCGGCGGCGCTGACTTGGCTGCCTAGCATGGAAGCCGTCAGCAGTGAAGCCACGGCCACCGTCCCCACCGCCAGATCTCTCGAGCTTCCCATCATTGCGTACACCAGCGCCGGAACGAAACTTGAATCTGTATGCACGTACGTGTCCCCCCGACCCAACCAAAAAAAAAAAAAAAAAAAACAACACAGACAACATGAATTTATTCTTGCACAAAAAGGTAAACTATGCTACCACAGTTTTTACTGTTGGAAAATTATAAAATAAAAAAAAATATTCCACGAGTCTTGTTAACTAGCTTTATTCTTTTATGAAAGGTAACTAATCTGAATCTTTTTTTTTTTATTCATTTATAGATTCGACTTTCGATAAGTAAAAAATCTTTTCAACTACTATAAAGAAGATTCTACATATACTTGTTACTTTACTTACAGAGGCCGAGGATGGGGGGAAGGTTGGCGAGCTTGGCGTAGCTGATGCCCTGCGGGATGGCCAAGCTGGCGATGGTGACGCCGGAGATGAGGTCAGCCTTGAAGAAGTCCAAGCTGTAGCGCGGGCCCCACTCGAGGATGGGGAAGAAGTACTGCAAGCCCAGGAGGAGCTTCCGGGGCGGGCTCTGGTTCTTGAACTGGCGGAGCGGGTCGTCGGGGAAGAAGGTCTCCTTCAGGTTGTACTTGAGGGACTTCACGAACGGCTGCGGCGGCGGAATCGCCACCTTGTGGGAGTGGGAGGAGTTATTATTATCATTATTATTGCACTCCGCCGCCGCCGCCTCCGCCTCGTCGGAGGTCGACGGGTACACGTAATCCGCGTTGCCCATACAAAAAACAAGGGGGAATAATTTAGTTGATAATTTTTTTTTTTGTGTGTTGGGGGATTGGTGAGCAGTGGGAGTGAGGGAATGGAAAGGCGGTTGTGGGAGATGGGGCATTTATAGCGGTAGAGGGAAAGGGAAGAAGACGACGACTACTGGTGGTGGTGGAAGTGTACGTTGCGATTTGTGAGTGGGGAGTAGGAATGGCAATGGGCAATTTCGGGCGGGTTTTATGGTATCCAGACCCACTCGTATGTGACAAGTCGGGTTCAGGACGGGTAATTTATTACGGGTCGCAGGTCGGGGCAGGTTGACTCAATGGGTATGCAATTTATATGAAAAACATTAGAACTATTCGTTATTGTTATTCTAAGACCAAGAAAACAAACAATATAGTTAAATTATTAGAGAAATTGAGGTTTTCACTAATTTACAACTTTATTATAACTAAATTATGATGTAATAAAAGAAAATTTTTAAGTAATTTGACTAAAATTACATACAATTTTGGAAATAACGTGTCAAGAATGGGATGGATCAGGACAGTTCGGGCCGATGAGAGTAACCACGCCCGTCCCACTCCGTCTACGGGGTGGGTCAGACCCACCCAAAACAGGCCAAACAGATCGAGTAAAACAGATCAAGTCGAAATTGTCATCCCGGTAGAGAGTACTGTGGCGGTGTGGGCCATGCGGCGAGACTCGTCTCATCTCATCAACGAAGGTATCTAATGATCTAATCTATCTCTCGTCTCGTCGTCGATCCCCAAAGCTGCGGTGTAGTGCTGGGAGGGTCCCACATCTCATTTCATGATACACGACACGCTTTGCTAACATGTTTAATTGTGCAAATTTCATCGTTGTTTGAATCTTTTCATCAATAATTACCTGCGGATCGGGCGATTAATTAGTATTTGTGATTTAATCTGCCACTTAATTTCGTGAATTCTATTGTTTCTTTTATAGGTCTGAGTTTGAATAGTCTTTGGACATGAATAAAAATGGATGGAAGAGCACGTAAATTAAGTGATCAGTTTCTTTTTTGTAGGGTTAACTGGTCAAATTTTTCTATGGTTAAGTAGGTGAATCTGATGAGAAGAAGAATATAACTTAATTAATTTGTCATTTTTTCCGTGGGTTAGCTGAAATTTTGTGGTTAGGGACTTTTTGAACGGGCGGTTTAATTGCTTTTTCTGACATTACTTCCCTGTTTTTTTATTCAACACACTAAAATCACAAAGAAATGAGCGATTTTCTCTCTATAGAGTGCAGAGAGCCAATGAGAGATTAAACGAACGCATACATAATACTGTTAACTCAATCGGAAATAATCAAAGAACAATAAACAAATATCGGATTTACCATGGAGATTCCGGGACTAATCCACGGAAGAGTGTAAAACCCTTCAAGCTACTGATAAGATTTACTGTGTTCGTGTTGTGTTACGATCGGCAACCTCCTTACATCACTATATACATGAGGCTGCTCCCATAAAACGCTAAGACGAGAACTACAACTCACCAAACGTCAATGCATGAGTTACATGGCATAATGGGCTAGTGGGATACGTATGTACATATTGGGCTGGAAAATAAACAAACAAAAGACAACTATAGTCTGCTAACAGCCTCCCCCAAATTTATGTTGGTTCCACAACAACAATTGGCTCGACAGATACCAATGATGGCTCGATGGAAAAGGCTTGGTGAAAATATCAACAATCTAGTCCTCCGTGTGAACATGAAGAACTGAAAGAGTACCAACATAAACTAAATCACGAACATAATGAACTGAGATCTCTGTATGCTTCGTGCGATCATGATGCACTAGATTGACCTCAATATGACTCGAACTAGTGTTGTCCACAAAGAGATCCATAAGAAGCGGACAAGTGACTCCCAAGTCACCTAGAAATCAATGTAGCCACACTAGCTCAGAGCTGACATCTGATATCACCCGATACTTGGCCTCGGTGGAAGACTTAGAGACTTTATCTTGTTTCTTACACCTCCACGAGATAAAGGCATTGCCAAACTGAATGCACCAACCAGTAGTAGAGTGACGAGTATCAACACACCCAGCAAAGTCAGAATCTGAATAAGCACGAACACGAAGAGAACCGGTAAAAGGAAAAAGTATACCCACATCACAAGTACCCTGCGGACAACGAAGTATCCGATGAACCACAACTATATGATATGTACGAGGATCAGACATAAACTAATTGACGACCTTAACAACATAGGAAATATCCGGCCGGATGGTAGACAAGAAGATCAGACTCCCAACAATACTCCAATATTTAGAACCATCATGTACTAATGTACCAGATCACTGCTGAGCTTCAATTTGGCCTCAATCGGAGTAGTGACCAGCTTGTAGTCTACAAAACGATGATCATCAAGCAAATCATATAAATACTTTTGTTGACCAAGCAAAAGACCCCCTCGAATTCTTGTAGACTTCAAGGCCGAGGAAGTAAGATAACTCCCCAAGGTCCTTGAGACTGAAAGACGCTTGCATACCTTCCTTAAGACGTTAAATACCCTCATGATCAGTAGCAGTGATAACCATATCATTGACATGCAGGAGTATAACCACAAGACCCTCCGCAAACTAACGAGTGAAAAGAGACGGATCATTAAGAGATTGGCGAAACCCAAGTTATGATTTAGCAGGCAAACATGACCTGCAATAGCACCAGTATAACAAGAAGGGGGCTCCATGTAAATAACTTCCGTCAAGTCCCCATGAAGAAATGCATTCTTCATATCTAACTGGTAGAGAGGCCAGTTCCGAAGCGAATCCACTAACAATAAGGTGCATACTATAGACATCTTCTTACTATAATCAATGTCATTTTCCTAGGTAAATCCTTGAGCAACCAGTCGTGCCTTATAGCAATAACAGTACCATCAAGATTCATCTTGATGGTGTACACCCATCGACAACCAACAACAGATGTTGACAAAGAAGAACATGGAACTAAGGTCTACGTGTTGCTGGCAACAGAGCTTTATGCTCACGTCGTATGGTTTCCTCCCAGAGTGGATCTCCATTCGCCTGCCGATATCTCATGGGAACAACAAAAGCATCGACACCATGAACAACGTAGCCATTAAATCGTGAGGAGGAATACCTTGGGTCAATCTTTGAGAGCGACAATGAGCAGGATCCGCAGGCACTGAGGATGGCGAGTCGAGAGGACAGAAGCCAGGTGAAGATGTGGAAGTCGAGGAAGTAAAGGATGAACTGGCACTGGAAGAGCTTGATGCTGGAGTGGTAGGTGAGGAAGACTGGATCGACAAGGCGGGCGTAACGTTGGGGAGCAGTCGGTATGGTGAGCTGAGTAGGTGGGGAAGATCATCATCATAAGCACCATCATCAAATATAGGCAGAGGCAAACCAGATGATGGAAAATGAGATGGGGATTAGCTAAGAGAATAGAACATGATATGTTCAAAAAATACAATTGTATTAGAAATCCGAACACATTGAAGTGATGGATCGTAACGCAAATAGCCTTTATGAATATTACTATAACCCAAGAAAGCACAACGAGCAGCTTTGGATATCAATTTGGTACGTTCACGTTTAGGAAGGGGAAAAAAGATGCAAGTAGTCAAGATGAAGGGAAAACAATGCAAAAAACAGATTGGTCTGGTTAAGGACAGATGTAATTTGATAATCTATAAGACGGAAAACAATGGTTACAACTTCAGGTAAATATTCATACACATACTACACGCGATCACTGTATTATTTTTTCAATTCTAAACAAGAGATTTCACATTATTAATATTCTATATGTTCTTATTTGCCTACTCTAAGATATCATTTGCTCTGTGGATTTTATGAGAGATTTGATTCCCAAATTCAGTCCCTTATGGACTTGTCCTAAAGTTCATTGCTAATCCATTTTGTGGGATAAAATCCGTGGGATCCTTGGACTTTAAGGGATCAAATCCATGTACCTTACGAACATTCAAATTCAATGGTTCGAGGTAAATTTTGGGTTAGGGCCAAAAAATCCATTGTATCCACAAATTTAATAAAGTAAACTCTAATAAACAAATTCATGATATCAACAAATGCATGATTTTACTAAAATCTTATTTTTCTAATATAGGAAGCAAACGAATAGGATTGAAGCCGGCGTTGACAAAAATGAAGAAAGAATTGGAAGATCGTGTAATCATTTTGTTGTCACTACAGCATCGAATATCTTGGTCCACTCCTTCAATACACCCCCTTTTGACTTCCTTCGATCATGGGTAGGGATGGTCTCCATTGGCAAGCATGCTTGCAAGATCGGGGAAACCCATCGCATACCTTTTTCTGTATCTTCTCCTTTTCCCCCCCACTGTTCCAATTTAATTGGGCAGGTGAAGATGAAGTGGACAAGCACACACAGTGGTGTTGTGGATGAGGTGTAGTTTGGGAGTCGATTTAGATCGATCATCATCATATGACACATTTGTGGTTACATATAGCTGTTGAAGTTTAGTTAAGCCTAACTACCAGCCTAACTTCTGTTTAGATATTCTTGTATGGCTGGTATAGGAAATTGATTGCCGCCGGAAATCATTTCATACAAACCGTGAAAAATTATTCTGAGGTTAATTTTCACTTTTTATTTTATTTTTATTTATAAGCACTTCTACTATGGTTTAAAACATTTGTGCTTTGATGTGCAAATTAAAATTGTACCATAACGTTAAAAGTAAAAGTTCGGGTTATACCATAAGAGAATATGTACTTCCAATTTATGATACAAATTTAGTTTGTACAATAAAGAGATTAGTACAAAAGTGTAAAGACGCAACTTGAAGTTGTCCCATAACGTTAAAGGTACAACTTTAATTTGTACCATAAAGGCAAAAACTTAAAGCATTATAAAATCCCTCTTTATATAGTTACGTATAAAATACTTATGTGTATATATGTTAGATCTATTTGGATGAATTAAAGTCGTAGATTGTTGTTTCTGAATAAAAATTGATCTTAGTATATATGCTTTGGAGAATTATGTTATAGGTTTCACTCATAAAAACTTAGTACCATACCCGAAAATATACTTACTTCAAGGTTTGTATACTGTTTTCTTACTAACAGCCGGGAGGGACCTATCAATTTTAGCTAGGGATATACTCTTTTGAAATCTAAATAATTAAATAATAAGATATCCGACTAA